TGATATCTTTGGCCACATAGAAATAAAAATGATTCTTCTTAATATCTTCTCAGAACCGTTTTCGTTGGCCCTGTGCTCTGCAATCTCTCGTTCGGATCCTGAACAGACGGGCACTCAAAATGGACGCAATGGAACACTTCATTCGCCGTATTCCGCACTCCAACGATCCTAATGAACGCAGCTGCTCGCGGCTGGCTCAACACCAATTCTTGCCACGATCTGCACAAGTCCCTGTCTTTGTTCACTGCCATTTCCCAGTCCTTGTTGTTGAGACTAGTTTCGATGTGATACGAATAGCTTCTGTCATCGCAATCCCACAGCAGCAGGCGCATGGAACCAATCCAATACGGTTGGGAGAGTTGGACGACAATCGGCATCCCGCCGAGTTGATGACAAGTGTATCCGTTATCCCAATCATACGAATGCGTGTTCCCGTTGAGTAAAGTGTCTCGGCTCCTGCTCACTCCTTCGATAACAACTGCGCCGAGTTGCGATGACGCTACATTGTGTTCGGGAACAATGTAACCATCCTGCATCTTGACAACTTTCGTCGAGTAATAGGCTTCCAAAGCAACCACGTGAAAGACCTGGTGCGTACATTTTTAGATTAGGAAATTCCAAGAAATTATTCGAAAGGAAACAACTCACCTTGTTATTGGTGTTGTGAGTTCCGACGAGGCGAATGTACTTGATAACTCGCTGAGGAAATCGAATTTCTTGCCACGATCGACAGAGGACTTTGGTATGATCCACCAACTTGAACCAAGAATTCTCATCGACGGAACCCTCGATGTAGTAGGAATATGATCGCGAATCTCTATCCCACAGTAACATGCGGATGTGATTCAAGATCGACGGCTTGCCCAGACGTACCACTATTCCTAAAAATATCATGCAGTTTGAGTGAATGTTACAATATAACGGATGGACCTGGGACGAAAAATACCTACAAAAGACAATCCCGTCACGTTTTTGTACTGTACAGTACTAACCACCATAAGAACTACAGGGGATTCAAATTTTATGAGTATCATTAGTTTATAACCATTAGAACACGGAAATCTTTGCGCCTGTGTTTTAGTTTTCCGAAATTACGAATTCTACATCAAATCGCTATAAAAGTTATCTTTGGGGAGAAGATGTTCAATATGTCCTAAATTTAAAACAAGACTACAAGAGCTTTCATTTCTTCATTCGAGTAGGAACTGCGTAGTATAAAAAAAATTCTCGACGATTTTTTCGAAATTCGACCACCATTAGTTTTACTGTTTGTCGCAATGAAATGCGGTCATCCTATGAGTTTAATTCATTTAATCAATCGTGACCAATAAAACACAGAACTCTTCGCGTATGTGTTTCAGAATCTTCCCATTTTTTAGAATTGAAGAATTTTACATCAAATCGCTATCGAAGTACTCATAGGGGAAAATATGTTTGTCCTACATTTTCTATGAAAACAAGCTTTCAGTTTTTTTCTTAGCGTAGAAATTGCGCAGGATCATCAAAAAAGATCGTCAACGATTTCTCATTTGGAAAACTTGGAGTGAGTTGCCATGAGGTATTTACCTCCTGAGCTTTGTGGTTGCTGTGAACAAATATTTCCGGTCGACCAGAGACGTTGATAGCTTTCCCCGCGCAGGTTTCGAGATCGATTATCTTCAATGGCGTGTCTTGTGAAGCCGCGCTCCGTGTCGAAAGTATCCGTATCCCCGTCCAAGAGATACTGTGGCAATTCGCCGACAGTCACTTCCGCCCCGTGGCGGTTCGTTAAAAGGCTGGAGGGATTTTCAGAAATTGATTAGGATTTACTCAACCGAATACAATTGAACATGCATAACTCGAGCATCCCCTAGTCGAATTTTTTCGTAGTCCGTACCTGAATTCCATTAGAAGAAATGCACTTCTCCTCAAACCTCTAGAACTCGAATTTTCCGGATGCATTTTGGTTATAATCTTTTTTTTGCACCCAAAAAACAGAAAAACAATAAAAACGTACCTTGATTTTTGAAAGGAAGTGAAGGACTAATTGTGCAAATGAACCCTTGCCTCGAAGTTGAGCATCATGTCAACATCTTCACAAGTCAAATTCGGGCCAAGAAATCTCGGTAATTTCAACTCACTTTATTTCTTCCTTTTTTCAAGGCAAAAATGGCAGTTTCCCTTACTTTTCGAATTTTTCGCTAGTCCTTTAGAATCCGAATAAGTTCAATTGCAAATCGATTATTTCGTTCAAAATTAATTTTCAGACACGAGAGCTACGCATTCGTGGAAGCAGCATTGATAAGGTCAATGAACCGATTATCCAGCAAGATCTTTCTCTCTGGACATTTTAAAATTATTCATGTAAGACCACGCAAATTGATCAAAGTTTTCATTCACAGTATGTTTTTATACTGTTCACTCAAATCGAGAAAAAAATGGAGAACATATTTTTAATCAAGAGAAAAGGAACTCATTTCTTACTTTTCATCCAAAACGAGCAAGCCACGATAGTTCAAGTCGTCAGGTCCGGGCGAATTATCCTTCGTGCGCGCATCGAGAGCGTCAAGCAACTCGTCAGCGGAGATCAGGCCAGTCGGACGAACGACTTTCAACAACTCGTGGATCGTCAATAACGGAAGTCGAACACATTTCATCACTGATTTCACGTCACACTTTTCATTCGCCAAAATCCATCGTTGCACCGCAGAGAACACCTCACCTTCGCCCGCAAAAAGCGAATCCCGCGAAAGCACCTCTTGAATGCCGGTCTGACGTCAAGAAAGAAAATTTAATGAAATAAGCTAGGTTGCAATATTGAGAAAAGACGAGGTACCAATATTTTGCATCGTTTCTTTGGGGATTCTATTTTTTTTTTTACTTTTACACAAAAACTCCCAGTTCTTGGTTTGAGCAAAAGTATTGTAAGTTCCTCAAGTCATTTCCCCTTTCAACAACGTTTTATTTGGAAGTAAGATTACACTAAACGGGAAGGAATCAAATTACAGTATACTGAAGGAAAGTTTAGGGGAAATAATGCACCAATACTTATTCCCACCACATGCATTATACAGTCCATTTGAAAATGTAGGCTCCACTATCGGTAATTACAAAAATATACGACTGTTGAGAAATATATTTGAGATTGAAACTTTTACGCTAATGATTCTTGCTGGATTAAAAGCCAAAATCTAACGTTAAAAAAAAAACAATATCGTTCATACGATAAACTATTGAAATTGCGTTTCATCAGCACCAAGAACCGGTTTTAACGAGGTGAAACAAGTGCCTAAAAATTTCGCGAAAATTTTATAATAGATACAGTACTCTTTTTCTAGTGAAACACGGGATATGGGTAACGAAATGCTATTTTTAGTTTTACTAGGTACAGTATTAGGCGACAC